AATAAATGCAGATGCAGTTGCAGAAGGCATACATACTTGTGAGACCGTCAGTGTGATTGATCAGCATGTAGCCCACCTATCATCAGATGCTATTGCTGAACCTGAGCTGATAGTAAAAGACAGCAGTGGTGGTGGTCTTGCATGTAGACAAATTACTGAAAGCCGAGCAACAACAGCTTTTGATCCACTGCTAACTTCATCGACTGATACTAATCAGTCGTCGTTGGTGCTGTCATCCACAATGAAAAAGACGCCCATCAACTCAAGTATCTCGTGCAATGACTATGATAGTATTGGTGCATTCGAAAAGACGAAAGATATTGCTCAGTTTAGTGAGAATAAGCCAAGTGTAAACGAGAGAGTAATTGTTAAATTGACTTGCATGAATAAAGGCATTTCTAGTTTCAAGTTACTATTTAAATGTTATTATCTTTGGTGTAAATTACTCCGTGCCTACGCTTGGTTGACCAGATACTTCGTGTGTTTGTTCGTCATCTATGTTCTACGATACAATGACATGAGCGTGTTGCCGTTCAGATTTGAGGATAAAGCTGATAGAAGGAAGTCAGCAAATGAACTCTGCGACGATTTGCCAACCTAGGGCGTCAACCTGAGAAGGGTTGTAGGCGTACTGCTGTAAGTCCTACAATTCTTCCAAGGGTGGTGCATCAATGAGCAGTCCAATGTGTTTGGTGTGTGATTTTGTACATATGTTCGTATTGTACATACTGAATTGATATCATCTGTCATCTAGCTGTTAGTAATTCTCTTTGTGTCCGGACGACTTCCACTTGGATCATCAACCTGAGAAGGAATGTAGGCGTACTGCTGTAAGTCCTACAGTTCTTCAAGGGTAGTTTGTCGTGCCAGAATCCACAACATTTGATGTGTTGATTGTACATATGTTTGTGTTGAATAGTTGTGTGAGTTCCAATTATTGTAATTGTTGGTTAATCTTGTTTGAGTCCGGACATTCCACAACTTACAGTCGTCAACCTGTGAGGGGTTGCAGGCGTACTGGTGTACGTCCTGCAATTCTTCAAAGGAATTCCATCAAGATGTGATCCGCGAGGTTGTTTGTAATATTTGTATATACGTGTGGTGTGTCATATCAATTGGTGTTTTTTGGATTCATTGTGTTTACTCGTTGTTTTCGTATCTTGTTGTTATTGCGTAATTTTGTTAAAATTTTCGTCGTGATTACTTCTGAAGTTGTTTCTTGTCTTCTACATCCGTGAATGAATTGATTGATGTTAAGGACAGCAGATGGGTCGTATACGCCGGGGAGGCTATTTCTGAGAATGAAATGCATACGGAAATAATTGTTAGCTGCGGTCCGACACGCCGGGGAGAAAGAGTGTAAACGACTGAGGCTCGCATACGTCATCGTTACTAGAATTGAGACAGAATGAGTGACAAGCGATTGCAGTGGTAATTGGTAGTGAGTAGATAAGAGGATGAGCGTAGAGTATCGTGAGGTACTGCCATGGTCACGTTGCATTCTAGCAAGTGGCGATTGTGTTGCAAGAGGATGTGTCAAGTTGATGCCTTTAACTGGAAGGCGCAGGTCGTCATTGATGTGTGAGATTGTGCTGTGAGTATGCTTGTGGTGTGTTGGCTTTTCTGTTTGTTTTCCATTTCAGCTCTGTCCGTGTGACCCAGGTTCTCGCAATGGCATCCAAGTCAACGTGTATTGGTCGTGAAGGAAAAAAGGGATGGATCCCATTTTTGGCGGGGAGTGTCAATGTAGTTGGAGATTGAACGGTCAATTCGTGTTTCTTTGCTCAGAACCAACTTCCCCAATTTTCGCGGAGGCATCAATACGACAGTCATCGTCTCATCGGTCTCTGTTCAGAAAGAAGATTAAAAAACCTTCCTTTTCATGTTCACATACTTTCTCTTTTTGCTACTCTGCTACTCCTATTCATCTTCTGGTCGAGGTCAAACAACCCTGCATCTAAACTGAAATGAGGATTAATTCCAAACCATCTATCTCATAACCACTCAAATTCCATGAACGATCCAATTCTACCATTTGAAGACGCTGGCGAACATGCTGTAAATGAGTATTCATGATCTGAAATGAAGAAGCAACTGGTTTTCAAACAGTTTTCAACATTTTACTCAACTTACGAATACAGTCCGCAATGCAGACACAAATGGCGCAAATGGAGAATTCTGGAATCGACCTCGACACCATTTGATGCAGTAAAACAACTTAACATGACCTTATCTAGTTTTCGCCTCCACGATCAAATTTCTTTCCTGTTATAAAACTACGATAAGACTGCTGAAAAAATGGAATAAATATATCACTGATCTCAACATAATACATCAATAATCTTAAAGTCAAGGGTGCTGTTCACAACAAAGTTATGTAAGAGAATTGACTTCAAGCTTTATTTTTCCCAGATATCCGTATTACATTCATGTGATGTCTGGGTTTTTCGTTAATGCGAAGACAATATTTCTATATCTCTTTATGTGCTACACAAACAGACTTTATAGCAGACTGTTCCGACTGACTCTCATGTCAGAGAGAACAACCAAACCGTAAATTCATCATGCATTAAATTGTGTAATTTATATGATAACTTATCCATGCCTGTACAATTGGTATGTTCCTGCATAAATAGGAAGAAATATATATAATAATTAACATTGTGATTTATTATTGTAATATTTGTTCACAGACCTTAGTCATACGTCATTTATATTTTGGTGTAACAATAAAGAATCCTCGAGTCAACAATTGGTTTTTTGGTTTTTTCGTCCGTTATTACCAAGCGTTTCTGAGAAACTTCAAGCGACAGCGTCAGCCCGAGCGTAGCAAGAGCTAAGCATTAACGGTTTACTAGACGTGGCTGACAGTCTCCAATCCAAATTAATTACTGTAGGGGATGGCACATTTCACAAGTTGACTCATAACAGTGAAGTGAAAAACTTCTATTTGTCCATACTGAACTTAATGGGGAGGGTTTTTGAAGAAAGTGCAATGCAGTCATAATCTTTTGCTCCATGCGGATTTGCAACGCAACTCAATGTGCAAAAGTATTTATACGAATAAAATCAAAAATAAAGTCCCCCTTGCCTTCTGAACAACCTGTCCTTATTCCAGCTCAGATAATAAGCTTCTTTCACCTACGAACTTGTCGTGCCTAAGAAGTAAGAAGATCACTTAAAACACTGTGTCACAACAGTGCTAATACTATGACCAAAGTGCTAATGCTTTTTGCCTTTAAATGAAAAGCTGACTGTTATGAGTACATGAGAACTGAAGTTAATTCTGAAATTGAGCTATGAATACCAAAAACCACTGAAACAATTGAGGCAAAAGCTGTTGTCGCAATAAACAGGCAGGATATACCAGTATGATTCCATGAAAGTTCGAAAATATACGTTTTAATTTTGAACTCCCCGCCTTATTTAATTCCTCACATTGCACAGATGTCAGTAGCAAGAGACATTTCCTGATAGAAATGCAGCAATTGCAACTCATTTCAAGTACATGATGCAATCGATATTATGTAAGTCAGAAAAGATTTCGACGCAAAATTTCATTTAACAAGCACATAAAAAAGTAACTTGTTATCAAACCAAAATTGCAACGGACAGTAACGCTACAATTGGCAGGGATATACCATAAGGCCAATCCACGACAAAGGAACGAGCGTAGGTGAACCCATGTATGGTCACAGAAAGAGCAATGGTACCAGCTATCTTGATAGGGAAACCCTTTGGTGGTAATCAGCTGCAGCTGACCGGTGGGGAGTTTAGGGTTGGCCCCTAATCACTGTACAAACCCCGTGAAGACAACAAAGGACGATACATCAGTGTCAACCAGAAACGATACGTCCACTCCGTTTATTTTAATCTCAAGTGTAAGTAGAGATACGAAACATTGATTGGATAAGGATACATTTACAAGTGGCCCACCTGTTGGCGTTAATATTTGGTTTATGGGTTTGTAGACGTTGTTGCAGGCTGGACTGGTGGGGGAGTGTCGAGGTGGCTTCTTTGGGGCGCTGGAACAGATATTATTTGCTCACTGGTGCCCAGAGTGTAACAGGATGCAGTGACGGTGGACGAAAGGATGTGGTCAATGCTCCTGAAGCGTTTGATCACCTTGAGAGCCTCTAACGTGGAATTCACAGGGTTGTGTGGAAGTTGGCACACAAGCTCATAGGATAAGAGGCCTTGTGCGAAGCGTGTAAAAATAGCCTCATAGTAACTCCAGTTTTGGAGAGAGGGTTTCTCAAAACATTCATATAATATTGTTCGGTTATCTCTAAGTATAGTGCAGGAGGAGAATCTCCAAGTGATTGTGCAACGAAGGACAGCGTCTCTCAATGCTATCATGATCTGATTATACTGGCCTTGCGAGGGAAGTCCTGCGAGAAGAGATTCCATTCAAAATTTCCGTAACTCATAGTCACTGTTGATGTCCAGGAGCGTTGGCCCTCGCACGGGCAGAGTGCATTCTGTGGTTAAAGGATGTGTGCTGGCTTTCTGTGCAGAGCATATTGCGGGAGGCCCTTATGAGTCCAATTTCATGTTGTGACTGAGTGTAAAGCACCTGTGACATCAGTTTGTAACAAGCAAAACAGCAGCCACACAGATAATGATGGCGGAACACGAGCTGCGCAGAGAACGTTTACTTCATAAGAATCAATTTTAGAAAGTGCGGGGTTCCATTCTCACAGCCTTTCTTCTCTTAGCTAAGGTTTAGACCTTGCACCTGTATCTCTTGATCTAGATAGTTGATTTCCGAGTATTTTCCTGAAAAGAAAGAAGGTGAAAGATTGATATCAGTTTTTATCATATGGGTTTTTTTCGTTACACCGTTATTAAATATCACCTGTTCCTCATTAAAACGATATGGGATATTGGACACCTGAAGCTTGAGGCAACACTTTGTCATTTGCAAAGGCGGCCATTTTTGCTAGTGAATTGTTAACATGGTTTGAGATGGTTTGAAGGTGGGGGTTTCAGTTTTTTACATGATGGATACATATTCTGTTTGTGGTGAGGATGAAGATTTGATTGATAGGGAATTTCCGCCGTGTACTGTAAATGACCATGAGAGCCTGGCAAAGAGGTAAGTGCTAAATAGAAGTTCGACGTTTAGCGATGAACAAAAGCGTTTTGATCTGGAAAAGGCTATAGAAGCTAAATTGAGAGAAAGGAACAACCTACGTAAGTCATATTTTTGACCTTACTCAAGCTTTCAGGGGAAAAGTTGCGTTTGCTTACTCGGCAATCTGAAAGGCTTGATGCTCTGTTTTCTTCGAAATTGGAGTCCAAGGAAAGAGAATTACGGCATTTTCTGGTAAATAATATCTTGAAGTATTTTAAAAACTTAAATTTTGTGTTCGCTGTCACTTAACATGTAGTCAGTCAGTTTTATATACCACATTTGTATTCTAGTATTCATTTTGCTTGCGTATTATGTATTAACCCCACGGAACTCGAAAGCACTAGAAGCCCACTTAACCCTCATACCTGTCCACAGAATATCGGTTATGCTAACAACCTAGATGTATTATCCAACTGGGTACTCTTAAATTACCAACTATGCATATTCGTTTTGGTATGTCAAATGCCATTTGTGTCGATCGCTCTATGGGGCGTAAATGCTAAAAGGAACAAATGCTACACCACCTGATTTTTGAAACAGCTTCAGATGTTGTCCCACTTGGCTTACATATTCTTTATCCTCAAGATAGCACAATACATCAGTTATTCAGTGCACCATATGGTAATTAGATTTTATGAATTGGTGTGGGTTGTTACCAAAGTGTTGTATAATTTCGTCTGTCGAATCATTTTATCAGTCTGCTTTATACTGGTACATTTTGTGAAGGAAGTAGTCTTTGGGGTGTATGGTACATAACTTTGCTTTATAACGCGATTGTTATAGCAGGTCGTAAACATGCCATTCATGCGTCGAGATGCCTTTACTGTGGAACTACTATTGTCAGCAGTCCACGGTTTCAACAATTTTTAGACTCCCTGAACACAAAACTGGTTTTCGTCATTAAGCTTTGGTGGAGTAAGTCACCTAGTTACAAGTAGTAACTTTGCACAACCTATCTAGGTCCCAAAAATTTTTTATTTATTGAGTCCCCGTTGAATGATTATGGGTCACCGTTTAGCGGTCATCTGCTCACGTTTTCTCTCATGTAACACAATTGTTAGGATATCACATTCAATCGCTTTAGTCTGAATGTTATTTTCAAAATCGTATTCAACTTTTGTCATTGCTATAATGGCTACCTACATGCTCGTCATTTTCAGCCCTATTGTGGAGATGTTACACTAATTCAGCATGTATGCACTCTGAAACATTGGTGACTTCATCCAACCTACCTCTCGTAGCATGAAGTTGAATTATCTATGCACGTGCGAAAATACTCTATCTTTAGGAGGGAAGTTGTATGACCCTTATAAATTTCACTCCATCTGTATCAAAACGATAATGATTTCCTTAAGATTGTATGGACCCAGCATTGGTGCGTCATTACCAAGTTGATATACTCGTTGAATTAGTGATCTTTAAAAGTTGTTTTACGTTCGTTGCACAATGTGCTTCTGCGAATTAGATTATTAATCGGTTACTGAGGTGTTTATAGCTGTTTGACATATTTCATCAAAGTTGATATGTCAAGTAGGTGTTTATTTGGAGATAATTCTTAACTGAAAATCCAGTATTATAGTAGAAAGCATTTCCGTGATCGGTGAACTTTAAGGTAGTCTCATGTTCAATACGTTTCTTAAGCAGTATTGAGGTTGAGGATTATTGACTCTTGTTAGCTCTCAGTGATTAAGATTAACCGATTTTTTCTTTGAGGTTAACTCTTGGACAAACTTGGCGTTGCAGATCAGTTATGTCACAAGGGGTGATATCTTAAATTCTGTGTTCTCAGTGGCTTTTCACTTTGGAGCCAGTTGAGTGGTAAATAGGTACGCACATAGGCATGGTTTAAAGTGAGAAACAAAAGATATCCTTTTCTAAAACTATTCTTAACCAGACAGGTAGTTGCGTAGATGATTTGTCCTACCAATAGTATGACGTGAAAATAACTCATTTACCGTTACCCACTTTTTAACTGTTAAAGTTTTATGTATTATCCTGTCAAACCGTGGTAGAGAAACCTTCATTAAACACAGATTGCCATAAAAGCGGTAAGATTGTCATTTACTTTGTCGGGGATCTTAATACGTATTCGGTCAAAGGACTAACTTGTGTTATGGAAAATTCATGTATTGAGATGACTCGAAAGGTATTCTAAAAATTGTCTTTTTTTGTAAGGGTAGTATGTTCATCTATCGCTTCTACGTTTTTACACTTTAAACTTACTACTAATTGATTCTTGATTAAAATCTTTAAGATCAGATTGCTGTAAGTAATTGGAAAATATCTGTTGATAATCAAAGTCAAGTATTACTCTCATGTGGAGTTAGTGCTTGATAATGCCTACTTCACAAACTAGACTAATGGCAATTTCTGCACGTGTAGTTAAACGTTATGATGCTAATTATTTTATAATTTCACTTGTTTGTTAGTTTTTACATTGTTGCAGTTTCGTATGCGTGATTGTCATAAAAATACACATTTAAATGCAGATAACATACTCGTCTATAATCAAGTTAATGCTTCTGTTTACGCTTATGGACCTCGCCTAGTTTACCGGAGTTACTGCCTATCAAGTGGTTATCCAAATATTTTTCAGTTTCGTAATGTGAATGGACACATCAGCAATTTAACACTAGGATGCATTATTTTTAATAATAGTAAACACGTAATTAATTTAGTCGAATCTTCGAATAGTGATAGACTGTTTTGAATTCTGTTTTCTTATAGCTTCCATGCGTTCCTCGTTCAAGTACATGTGACACCGACGCCAATAAACAAAACACTATTACAAATTCTACTATTAGCTCCACTGTTCGTCCTGTCCCGACTTTAGTTACTGGATTGACAAAACCTTTAGATAGTTTACTGGGTCCTACAGTCACTGTAACTCGTGCAATCAATCCGAAAGGGGAAGGGCTTTTACCTACTCCATATCCTAATCCGTTACATGTTGGAAATAAACTTGCTGCTTACACACGTGGCTTGTCATTATCTTCTCAGTCATCCAAGTCTACAATGGACAACGAGCTGTCAACAAAAGAAATTTCAAGTTATGCAAATGTACTTGTTGATTCCTCTGTCAATTTGATATTAACTCGCTTACTACGGGTACAGCGGAATTTTAATAATTTAGTAGCAGCTAATCAGTCTAAATTACAATCATTCACTTTCACACAAAACAGGTGAGTTCCGTCTAAGCGGATCTATTTCACTGGTTTAGGCTTTGATCGATAACTCTAAGTCTTGTATAGAAGGTGAGGTAACTGGTTTTCGTTGAAAGTACGTAATTATTAATGTAGTTTACATAGAATACAGCAATACTGTCTACCTAGCATTCATCAAGTCTGTGAATATACCAAGACATACAGCTTATGCTCTACAGTACTTACTTCGGTTAGTGAATAAGATTGCATCCACACATGTTTACGTGTGTTTTCCCTTTCATAAATTTTGAACTTTTCTGTTTAAACCTTCATGTTTCATATGATCTGATGGCTTGTTATACCAAATTTCTCTGCTTGTGTTGATTTAGTTACTAGTAATCGTGACCAGTTTTCAACTTAGAGTCTAACACCTGGTAATTGCTGTAAGTGTCGCGTTAATTATGTCATTCATTTTTATCACCAGCTTATCTTTCAAATTCACTTGTACCACGATCACCTTGATTCGCATTATGTTAGTCGTGTTGGCAAACGATGCATACGACTTCCAATGTATATTTCTGCTGGCTGACTGACGTAAAAGCTAGCACAATTTATCAGTTTATGTCGCCACATTTCATAGTTTTTCAAAATAGGGGTACTGCAATAGACAAAGTAGGTGTGTAGTAGAGAATAATTTATTGAATATTAGCGATTATTTTCAGAATCTGCCGGACGATGAGTGAATACATCTGCGCCATGGTGTACTATGTTTCCATTGATTCCTAGCATTCTTGTAATTGCAACCAGCCAGTCTACTCATTATCTGACCCAGAACAGTCAGTAATTTGATGGATTTTGCTGATATGTTGATCTGACAACCTCTTACTCTTTTCCGAATCCAGCTAATACCCTTCGTCAAAGAAAGTCATTGTCCGGCACACGTAAAACGCCTGAAACACCTTGACCAATGAAATTGCATTGCCTCGTTTGTTGACTTATCATATTATTCTATTCGTCAAGCGATGAAACACGAACATCCATGGTGAATGTATAATCTCGTTACACTTATATTCTCGTCGGCCACGAGTGAGTAGAGTGCCCTGGTTGGCATAACATAATCCCTTTAGATGTCAGGTAAGGGAAACAAGTCGGACAATGCAGTTGTAAAGCTTCATTAAGTAAGATGGCTGCGACATATTCCATCCTTGCCACTTGTTCACTTCTGTTCCTAAGTTATTTAGGTGTGTATCAAGCTGTTCTGCTGCACCTTGGGAAAGTTATTAGCCTATAGTATATCGGGCAGTTGTCATAGGGAGGACAATTTTTTGATTTGTCAGATATCTCTGTCTGTCTGTTTTCGACATAGAACTTTGCACATATGTGCGGCAGTTCAATTCACCACACTCAATGTAGCACACAAAGCAAGAGAAAGAAGAAATGCATAATAAGGACAGTAAACAGAGGTGCGAGACAAAGAAATAGTAATAACGAAGAACAACATAGTTTCATTGGAAATCATAAGTCACAAGGAGTGGATGCATCTGCGCCACTGAGAACGATTTTGAGCCATGTCACCAATTGTTTCCAACCATAGATTTTTACCGTCCCGAGGACCCCAACCAGGAAGTCTACACCTTCCTACGTGGCTTAGACTAACTGTTGTGGATTTCATTGACTGGTGCCAAGTTTTTGTTTCACCTCCGCTAGCTATCTTCCAGCCTGACCCTATATCCGCTAACATTGCTCGTCGAGAAAGGCGATGACTAGGCATACGTAACACATGTCCTAACCATCTCAGTCTTTGTAACTTCACGACTTCGTCGATTGATTTCCCCTGTTTACCTAGAAGTCGACGCCTAACTTCAATGTTGCTCACCTTATTATGCCACTTTACACGGGAAATAAAGCGCAGGCACCTATGATCAAAGACAGCTAGTCTTTTCATGTCTTCCACTCTCAGTGGCCAGGTCTCACAACCATAAAGGAGGACGGAACGGAATGATGAGCAGTACACCCACCCTTTGGTCGATAGTCGAACATCTCGTCTACGCCAGAGTCGGCGTAAACTGGCAAATGCGAAACGAGCCCCCTGTATTCGTGCTGGGATTTCGTCAGAGATCAACCCGTTGGGGCTGATGGTACTTCCCAAATAAGCGAAGTGGTCAACGTGCTACACCAACCAATTCACTTCCTATTTTTTAACTAGGCGTCAATGTAGTCCAGTCCTGTAACATCATCTTGCATTTGGTGGGAGCGAATCGCATGCCAAACATTCGTAGATTACGGCTCAAGGTGTTTAGAAGATTCTGCATTTTGTCAGCGTCTTCGCCTAGAAGGACTATATCGTCTGCATATTCCAAGTCAACGACATTATTCCCACCCTGGTAGCAAGTCAATCCCTGAGTCGCTGAAGTCACTTAGGGTTAAGTCCATTAACACATCTATGACGAAGTTGAATAGAAAAGGGGATAATGGGTATCCTTGACGGACACCACTGGTCGTCACCACCTCAGATGACAACTCGCCGTAAGCCCTCGCCTGGATGCATGAGTACGAGTAGAGTGCCTTGATCAGTGCAATGTATTTTCTCGGCCTTCCCTTTACAGCCAAGCATCGCCAGAGAACCTCTCGGTCGACAGAGTCGAATTCCACCGTTAGGTCAAGAAATATAACGATTGTTGGACGCATGATTATTGAGCCTAGGACTGTAGGTACTATATTAGTCAAGCTAATCTCTCCGTGATTATCACAGGAAGACTTGTCTCTTGTGTGCGTCGGTGGCACAGTGGTTAGGACTCTCGCCGACCATGCACATGGTCCGGGGTTCGAGCCCACGCCGGCGCACACCTGATATCTATGGTCGGCCTGCAAAATTTGGGCTACCGATATCCATGCTGAAAATTCTATACTTGTACCAAAAATAAAGTGTGGAATCAAGCCGTAAATCAAAAAAAAAGAAAATTAAAATTAAAAATTCTTGTATATGGGGATAATCAGTGACTTACACCAACCCGATGGGACTTCCTCTGATTCCCAGACGCTGCCTAGAACCTCATTGGCTGGAGACAATAGGTGACATGGCTCAAAATCGTTGTCAATGGCGCAGATGTATTCAATCTCTGTAATGTTTCATATTCTCTTCTACCATTACCCATTCTGTTTCACTCTTATACTTGTCAAACTCTATTGATTCTCTTAACTCATCTTCTTGTCTACCTTAGTGTGCTATTTGGAACGTGGCAACTGGAACTGCTGCACTTCGGTGCCAAGTTCTATGTTGAATCCAGACAGACAGAACCTCAGTTAATGCAGACAGTAAACTGTCTCCACCGTATTTAAATACCTCAGGTCCCACTGATTTGCCTTGTTTCAGATTAGTGACGGCTTTAGTAACCTCAGTTAAGGAAGGAGGACCTGTGTCTATATCCCATTCAGGGAGGCTTTGGATGTTCGGAAGGTTGAGCGTGGCTGTGGGTCAATTAAACTGCTCCTCATAATGCTCTTTCCAGCGTTCCAGTCGTCTATCGTGGGAGCTAATTATGGTGCCATTTTTCTCCGAGATTGTTTCACTTGTCATTTGCCTTTTGCCGCCTGGTGTGAACATCAGACATTCTAAGATATTAGGAACCATAGATCGAAAAGATAACTGAGCAGTAGTCATGCATTATCAGCATAGACTATAGTGTAGTGAGAGCAGCCTGCTAGCCAATTGGTTGACATTAATCTACGTCAATGTCTAGGTCACTTATAGGGGCCGTGAGAAAATATGAACAAGGCTGTCTCAACAACCAATCACAGCAAACTTAAACGTGGGCAAATATGATTCGCAGATAGATGGCTCCACTTTCCGAGGAACTCGAAAACAACCAATCAGAAGACTGCGTTTGTCTCTTTGACTAGGCTATAATAATGTATGTGAAATTTATATAAATACGTGTTGATTTCCGTAATAAAACGATATGTCTGGCCCCTGCCTTCTGTTGTTACAATAGTGTACTCGGGGCTGAGTTGGGGATTTCTAAAAATAAACGGCCGAAAATTAGCGTATCTTCTGCTAGTCTTCTTTTCTATGCTGGTTCACCATCCCTTCATTTCTATTTGGATTTTACTAGAAACGTTTGTTTAATTCAGTTTATTACTATCAAAAACTTCGCACAATTCTTCCCATTTATAAACTTGAATAAAGCAAAACGACAAATGAACCAGGATAATCTGAGCTCATGTTTTTATTTTTATTATTTCGTGGATTCTCAACTGGTTACAGCCTGAACAATAGAAAAGTTACGAATTGAATTAAAGATTTAACCTTATTTTTTTTACAGTGATAATGAGTAAATGATTGGAACTGAGAGTAATATTGTTCAGTAATGATGTAAGTTGTAGGATAATTAAGGATGAAAAGGATCGACTCTAAATAGAAGAATTACATGACGAAGCTTGGAAACAAAAGGACAGAGTTCAACAAATGTTTGGTGGGTAGAAATAAAGTTTAACTAGAAAGATTATGGAAAGTACCGGGTCACGTAACCACAAAAAACACGTATTTATAAAACAAACTAAAAGGGGTAGGATGAGTCATGTTTAGCCGAAAAATTCAAGTTTTGTAAACGGGGCAGAAGATGACGGAGTGAAATTCCTGCGATTTGGTATCACCGAGACAGTGCGGAATTCGTCACTCTGCGTACATAGATTTGGTTTTATCCGTTTGTCTGCGATTGCCTCAGCAAAATGAAGCAGACTAGGTTTCTTTTGTCTGTTGATTATTTTAAGCGACTTCAGGTTGTCCACAACATCGCTAGTGTCTAGTAGATGGTGAGCAATCGCAGTGTTTAATGCTTGGGCCCTTTATTCTCAGGATCGTTGATATATGTTCAGCGATGCGGACAATAACTCTTCTCTCTGTTCTTCTAATGTATGTGCTTTGGCACATAAATGTAAATTGGTAGACATAGTTAGAAGTTACATGAGGTCGGAGTTTGTCCACTTTTGACTGTCTTAAACAACATATCGTTTGATAAACACATACAAGTTTGGCAGTTGGATATGTTATTTTTAGAGTAGCGTTCAGTCTGCTTCTTATTCTACTAGCAGTGTCGCCACCTTTGAAGGCAAGCTGTAAAAAGGCGAGTTTTTTTTCTCGTATACTATACTTCACCCTGTCAAGACTACATTTTCCATATTTGTCGATGAACTTCTGGGGACGGCCATTATCACGCAGGCCCTTTTTCAACAATGGCTAGTTCTTCTACTTCTGCTGCTGAACAAAGATTTCTTACACGATCAAACAGTGTTTTCGCCAATCCCTTTTTGTAACTCACAGGGCAGAAGCTTTTGAAGTAAATCACCCTCCAGGTCTCCCTTCTATAGGCGTACTTCATTATTTCACCATCTTTATCACGTTTGATTCCAAAGTTCAATGTTACTCTCAGTTCCAATCAGTTATTCACTATCATTGTAAAAGAGTATGCTCACATCTTCAATTTATAATTTTGGTACTGTTCAGGTTGTAACCAGTTGAGAAGAATCCACGAAATAATAAAAATAAAAACATGAGCTCAGATTATCCTGGTGCATTTATCGTTCTTGTTTTTATTATTACTTCTGTTGCAATTGTTTTTGTCTCTTACTTCAAATTTTAGAGATTTTTGAAGCTTTTTTATATTTTGGATGGTTTCAATGCCTTTCATGTCATTGACTAGTTGTTAGTCTTCTTTCTGTGTACCAAATATGACACTATCTTTACATATGCAAAAAATCTATTGAAATTTTACTAGGGATGTTGTGTTTTAAATTTTAAAACTTCATTCATTGTAGTTATATTACTTACCTTGATAAGATAGTTGTAGATGTCCTGTCATATATTTACGGTGAATTTCAATGTATTGTGTTACTTTGTGTTCTAGTTTTGATATTCTCTTTTCATTCCAATTTACATATTATGTGTCATTTGGATTCTTTAGTGGTAAAATACATGTCTGATGTTCCTTTTTTCCCTCACAGTCAAAACGGTAAAAGGATGATGATGCGTATACGGGTTCTCGAACACGAAAATGAAGAGCTAGCAAATGTTAATCGTGCTGGTCGAACTGCTCGTTTAGAAACAGAAATCGCATTACGTCGTGCATTTGTAAATGACCTAAAGAATGCGCATTCGGGTAAGTGTAAATATCTAGATGAAATGTTTGTCTATGATTGTGATCAATACTGTACTTCGGCACAGAGTTTTAGGTGAGAGAAGTGAGTTACTTGATGAGGTTCTAAAGCTTTACTGCATAAAAGATACAGATCTTCTGACTGTCTATTCCTGCGTGGTATGTTAGCCAAAGCAGGATTAAATTTTTAAAACATAACCAGTGGAGACGTTGTTACGAAGGTGATTGAGTCTTAGAACGATGAGTGATGCTTGAATCTTGAAAAGACGAATGAACCAAGAATTTAGGCTTTATTCATTTTACAATGAAGCCGGAATGGCTTAAACATATAAAGGAAAAAAAGAGTGTTAATAGCGGTAGAGATATGAATATGACTAGATACGTATTATAAGAAAAGTTCACAACATTCACTGCGGCTTGAAAAGGAATGAGCCATTATGTCACGCTTCTCTGGTACGCAAATTGTAAGGCCGTACACGTTGTTGTTTTTCCAAAAGAATACGCCCGTTGTTCGTTTCAGTTGTATTTTCTTCACGAAGAATATTAGGATCAGTGGTCGCATCCCCATTTACTTGTTGCTCAGGAATTGCGTCGCCCTCCGGTATTGAATTTTCAACTTGATCTATATCTTCGCCTTTGGGTGCCAGATGATGAAGAGCAACTGTATCTTCACGTCCATTACCGAAGCGAACGTGAGCGAATTGCGGGTTACAATTCAATAGCTCCACCTCTTCAACCAGGGGATCGAATTTGGACTGACGAACACTCCGCCGGAGAAGTACTGGTCCTGGCACAGTGAGCCAAGTAGGAAGAGTTGTCCCAGATGTCGATCTTCGGTTATAGGTAAACAGTCGTTCGTGTGGCGTGGCGTTCGTTGCAGTACAGAGCAAAGATCTGATGGAATGCAAGGCGTCGAGTAGAACAGACTCCCATTGTGCCGTTGGTAGGCCCCGTGATCTTAATGCTAGAGTGATGGCACGCCAAAGTGTTCCATTGAGGCGCTCGACCTGCCCATTGGCTTGAGGATTGTATGAGGTAGTACGACTGGTTGCTACGCCTTTCTCCAGAAGAAATGCCCGTAATTCGGTAGACATGAAAGCAGCGCCTCTGTCGGTATGTATGTAAGAAGGCATACCGAAAATCGAAAACAGTTGGCAAAGGCAATTCATTACCGTTTGAGACGACATGTCGGGGCAGGCGAATGCAAAGGGGAATCGAGAATATTCATCGATCAGCGTGAGCAGATAGTGATTGCGGCTAGCTGACGGTAGAGGTCCTTTAAAGTCGATGCTTAACCTTTCAAAAGGTTGGGTTGCTTTTATGAGTTTGAAATTAGAGGGATTGTAAAATTGAGGCTTTAACTCACAGCATGTCACGCATTTACTGGTTACATTGCGCACCTCGTCAAGGGAGAATGGAAGGTTTCTCGAGCGTACAAAATGCATCATTCGGACAACTCCAGGATGGCACATAGAGTCATGGAGAAATTTCAAGTCGCACACTGACTGCAAGGAACCGCAGAAACTACGGGAAAATGTATCAGCAGCTTGATTATCCCTTCCAGGACGATAAATGATGTCATATTGATAAGGGGATAGCTCAATTCTCCAACGCATTATTTTATCGTTCTTGATTTTGCCTTTATGAATCTTGTCAAACATGAATGCTACTGAACGTTGATCAGTGACAAGTTTGAAGTGATTTCCGAGAAGGTAATGCTTCCACTTACGAATTGCTTCAACCACGGCATAGGCTTCTTTCTCAACCGATGAATGATGTTTCTCACTTCGAGAGAGGCTTCGAGAAAAGAAGGCGACAGGTTTACCATTCTGGTTTAATGTAGCTGCAATTGAGACATCTGAAGCATCTGTTTCAACAACAAGGGGTGCTTTCGGATCAACTACCACAACGACTGCACGTTCTAAGTCGTCTTTCAGTTTGTCAAAAGCATTTCGAGTTTCGATATCAAGAGGGAAAATCCGATTATTTACCAATGGGTGGATTTTATCTGAGAAGCGAGGGATCCACTGTGAATAATAAGCAAATAATCCAACGGCCCGTTGTTGAGATTTGATATCTGTGGGTGGTTCTAGATCACGAAGAGGTTTTAGCCGATCGGGATCTGGTTTAATAACCCCCTTTGAAACTTCATAACCGAGTAATTGTATGCTTCTGCTTGAGATCACACTTTTGGAATCATTAAGGGTTATTCCATAATTGCGTGCTGCTACCATAAACTTGTTTAGATTTTTGTCGTGTTCCTCCTGAGTTTTGCCGCAGATAGTGACATTGTCAATGTAGGCAAACGTGCTTGTGAGTTGTTCTTTACTGATCAATTCATCGATAATGCGTTGAAAACAAGCTACGCCATTGGTAACACCAAAAGGAATTCGGCAAAATTGGTAAAGTTTCCCACAAGCCTCGAAAGCAGTATATGGTTTATCTTCGTTCCTTAGGGCAATTTGATGATAAGCATTCTTCAGATCAAGAGTGCTGAATATGTCATATTGTGCGATTTTTTCTATCATTTCGTCAATCCTAGGTAATGGGTAAGCATCCAGAAAAGTGAATCGATTGATTGTCTGACTATAATCAACTACCATCCTCTTTTTATGGCGTTCGTTTGACGTAACAAGAACTTGAGCTCGCCAAGGAGAATTAGAAGGTTCAATAACACCTTCTTGCAGTAACCGGTTGACTTCGGTGGAAATAAAACTTTCATCTTCACGAGAATAACGCCGGGATTTTATCGCGATCGGTTTACAGTCTTTTGAAAGATTTTCAAACAGGGTAGGCAGGTCGACGCGAACACAAGGTAGACCACAGAGAGAAAAAGGCGGCTTTGATCCCCCAAAAGGAATCTCAATGTGTTTGTGAAGTTTTAAAAAATCATGTCCAAGAAGGACGTCTGCACATAAATTATGAAGAATGGAAAATTTGAATAGATCATAAGTGTGGTTTTTATAGCAGATGGATAGAAAACAATGTCCTTCAGTATGACTAGTAAGATTCGTACTCGCCATTGTGATTCTGTTTCGAGACTTATGGACTTTCCAGTTATACTTACGAACAACTGAGGAAGAGATGTAGCTCTCACTGCTTCCGGTATCCACTAGAGCTTGCATTGATTTCCCATTGACAGTAAGCTGCGTAACAGCATCAGTGAGACTTTGAGGTGCTGAAGCCACAACGAGAGATGAAATTATAGAGTTAACTGAAGATGGACCTTTTTTCGTAGATGGCGCAGACCTGCAAACCTTCTGAAAATGTCCTTGCTTGCCACAAGCTTTGCAAACTGCATCACGGGCGGGGCATTTGGAACGAGGATGTCTACGATTACCACAGAAAAAGCATTTGGATTCAACGGCAGCAATGGTTGTTTCATTGACGGAGGGTGTGGAATCTGATGAATGAGGTACATCATGTAAAGAAATGGACGCGCAAGGTGTAACAGGATTGTTGTATGACTGCGATTGTTGATGTGCCATCTCTAGAGCTCGTGCTTGATCGTATGCCGCTTGAAAAGTTAAAGTACGCTGTTCTAATAGCCTCTGGCGTATCATCGAAGACTGTATACCTGAGATGAATGAATCACGTAGAGATTCGTTACGATGTTCTTCGGCTGTAACTGCCCTGAATGAACAATCTGTAGTCAGCGACTTGAGTCGACGAACAAACTGATCCAGATTTTCGCCAGATTCTTGTTTACACGTTGCTAACAAGTGTCGAGCAAACACTTCGTTGCAAGGCTGCATGTAGAGACTCTTGAGAGTGTCGATAGCTTCTTCGTATGTTTTGCATTCAGAAATGCATTCGTATACAGAAGTAGAAATATGATTGAAGAGAATATGTAGTTTCGAAGGATTTTCGGATCCCATTGATTCAATGAAGTAGGAGAAAGTCGCAAACCAGTGATCCCACTTCTTGGCAGCTCCAACTGCGTTAGGTTCTACGTCGAACCGATCAGGTCGGAAAAATCGTTCCATGAATATTGTAAAATGAATAAATTGTTACGAAGGTGATTGAGTCTTAGAACGATGAGTGATGCTTGAATCTTGAAAAGACGAATGAACCAAGAATTTAGGCTTTATTCATTTTACAATGAAGCCGGAATGGCTTAAACATATAAAGGAAAAAAAGAGTGTTAATAGCGGTAGAGATATGAATATGACTAGATACGTATTATAAGAAAAGTTCACAACAGACGTAAAGAAGACATATGAGTTCGTCGATTCGTTAGTGTATGGTTTAAGTCTTGTGGGAAGCAAAAACAACGGACGGAGTTGAAATAATCCAGCATCGGTAACTGTCATCCAAGTGGGTTTGTCCTTTAGCTTCATTTTGAGGGTTTTCTTATAACATATATTTGCTCAATTCTAGCTGTTCGTCTTGCAGAATTTTACTACATTTAATGGTTTTCTTTGTATATTTCTGTCTTCCCATCACTTTCAACCTTGGTTCGCTTTTGAAAGTTTAACAACTTGAACTGTTAAACAGTTCCATATTGTCAGTGGATGTGTATGTGGTTGTGTTCATATCCAGTTTCGTAAAGCGCAGTTGGTGGATCAAATAGTAATATTGATAATAGTTGGTTCTCATATAGTAGTTCGTAATTGAGCAACGCTGGTTTACAGGTAACATTAAGTTGTTAGTGTTGCAAATTATTTTCAAATGATATGAGTTGGAGTGATTCTATAGGTAGCGAATACTCTCACTGTGCTATGCAATAATATTTACTGATGACGTTTCGAGCACAATATATTGCTCATACTCATATCAAGTTACTGGCACAACTTCGTAACTTCATTTATATAATTCCATTATTTTTCATCGCTTGATTTGATTAGTAGTCGCATTTTCCATATTTTCGGTATGAGTGATGAGTCATTCATATTGCACTTGTCGGGTATAGACTCGATGAACAAAGATTCAGTTATCAACCTCTCTCTCCTCCTCCTACCTATATTACTTTTCAGAATTTTAACCCTCTCCCACCCTATTTT